CCAGACTAGGCCCAGGGAAGGTGACCTTGCAAGCTAAATGGACTAAACGGAGAGGCTGAATTCTTGCCTTGTTCATCATCCATTACTTCAGGACTCCAACCCACAGAAGGTGTAGAATGTCGCTGACACCTTTCAGAATGTTCAGCTTTCCTTTTTACAACATGGGCCTCTAACGTGTCTACTTGTGGAGATACAAGAACAAGCATGAAGCCTGCAGATAGTGATCTCCCCGATAGTACACTAAAGGCTTTTCCCCACTGTTGAGTAGAAGTTCTCTCCACCCACCCATGAGCTGGCAGAAAGCTATGCCGGCATGGAATTAGCCGTCCCCATTACCACTCCCTATCCTGATTTTGTTGCCTGTGTTTCAAGTCAGTGCAGTCTCCTGGCTTCCCTTCAAGGTAATAGGTGACAAAGTCCAACAGATTTTATGGACCTTGGAGCTGCCTTGGAGGGTGTCAGAATAAGTGGGGAAACGCTATTTGAACACCAGTACAGCTGAAGGGGAGATCAGCCTTCTTGCTCTTGAGCCGGGGACAAGACAACAGCAACATCAAGGGGATATCACAGAACAAAGTTATGGTCAGAGCGTGTTTGTGCTGTGTGCAAGTGGGAGAAGGACTTAAGAAGTAACACAGTTAGGTAAATGTAAATGTAATTGGCTACCAGCCTGCCTCGTTTTGACCACTCCATTTCCAAACAAACAAAACAAGCTTGTTGCTAAGAAATGCAATAAGAGATCCTTATTTTGTTTTGTGTGTTTAATCTGTTGCGGTTACTCAGGTCCTACATCTGTCCTTGGTATTACAACCTTGGAATACAATAATAAAGATGGCTTTTAAAGGAAATTCTAAAGTACAAAGCCCAGTTTTCTACTCTGGGTATCTACAACACTGTGCTAATGGTTTTCCAAAAAGTACATAGAGTTGCTAAACTAAGGTCACCATGCCTTGTTTAAAAGTATTTCTGTGCCTCTTGGCTTTGAAAGTAAGTTTGCAGATCCTTTTTGAAGAATAATCTCCTGAGTGGGAGGGCTGTGTTGCACACGCTGCTCCCAGGTTCGGCTTATGGTCACTCACTCACACACTTATAGCCTGTTGAGGCACACGGATCTTGTCAGCCCCCTTGCTTTCTACCTGGGTTTTCCAGATAGGTGTGGGTGGAGCAGACAGACACACAGCCCTGGTCAACAGCCGGGAAAGAATTGGGGATACACACAAATCACTTCCAACCAAACACTGAGGCACAAG